TTTTTTTTTTTTTTTTTTGAGCTTTTGTGTTGCATTTACACACTTCATTTATTGAGATTTAAAATGTGGTTAAAATACACCTTTAGAGCAGTTTTTTCCCCCCCTGTTATTTTAGTTTTGTTATTCTGTATTCTGTTGTTCTTAATAAGGCATGCAATGTTAAGGAACTGGAATTGTTGAGTGAAATCTAAACTTATTACGGATTTTATAGAAAGTGTCTACATACAATACTTATGGCATAATAAATGTCTTGTTCACACTTTTTAGAGTTGTTGAATAGACATTTAAATTCTTAAATATATATGGAAATGCAGATTTCTACCATTACTACTACTATTGGGTTATCAGTTCAGAGTGGATTAAATCAGTGATTTCTAAGAGTCTGTTGGCATTTTAATAAAGCTCAGGCTAATTTGGCCATAAAATGTCCCATATAAGGAAGGGAGAACCAGAGTGAAATTTTAGCCAATGCATATTATTAATAATCTGGTCTATTCTTTTCACCCTGAATTGAGTCCATTTTACAATGCCTCAAATTCATTATTAAATGCTCAGACTATTCTCCCATCTTATTAATGTTTTATGTATAGTGGAACTTGACACAGTAAATGTTAACATTGTAGGGTAAAAAACTTTCAGAGATGTACCTTGCCATAATAGATTAATTAAAATTGATCAGATTGCGTTTTTTTTTTATTGTGGCGGTTAAGTGGTTAAGGTCATGGATATTTGTAGACAGCATTAAAAGCGCTGACAAAATAATTGGTTGTAATTGTGCAGTCCTCCTGTTGGACGGGGTTTTAATAGTGGTTAATCGCTGCGGTGTAATAAGAGCGTGTGAGTGTGTCTTTAATTGGTCTGGTGAGCACAACAAACATTAGCCTCAAGAGGTTTGGATTATATTAGCTACATAAAATTGATAAAGGGTTGATGGGGAGATTCTCATTGAATGAAATTATCTCTAGTTTTTGAAAGCCTCCAGACCAGAGTTTCCCAATCGATAAGGGTGCTAGATAACTAAAATGGGTGAGGGTGAGAGCTAGACACCTGAGATATGTAATACTCATTTTTTATTTTTCTAAACCATTTAAAAGGTTTAAAAAAAGTATTACTGATTGATTTATTGCATTAACATTGCAATCATTGCATATATGTATGTACACTACATACAGTATGTATGCATGTACAGATAGATTAAATATTAATAAAATGCTAAATGAAATGTGTAAAATGCATTTTTATATCCCTGATCACATTTAAAATGGTGGTCCCTTTATATTTTTGGTTTGTGTTAGACCAAACTAATTACTGACTAGTGTCCTCTGGCACTAAAAAAAATTAAAAAAATACCTAAAACAACTTAATTTCTGTCTGAGTCTCTGAGGAACTGATACCTTTTAAAAAGTCTGGATACCAGGAGGCCATTGTTGGAGAGTTTTACCTTAAGTTGCTGAGCTCAAGGTCTTGAAGCAACATCTGCTTATCAGTGGCGTGCGGTGGTGTTTTAAAATGAGGAGGCAGTCCTGGTTAAATAAATATTACATAAAAAAAGAACAAATATAATTCTATTTTGTATTTTATTAATATTATTTTATTTTATTTTATATTTTTAATACTAATTATACATTTCATAGTGTGTTTATGCATTTTTATATTTATTCCAAAATAATAACTAAAGGCAGTAACAATTTGAACAATATTTTCGAAACAATTTACAATAATGTTTCATTAATTAACTTTAGTTAACTACTTTAGGTAACATGAACTAATAATAAACAATAGCCTACTTCTACAGCATTTATTAATCTTAGTTAATATTAATTTCAACATTTACTAATGCACTATTAAAATCAAAAGTTGTGTTTGTTGACATTAGTTCATGCACTGCAACTAACATTGAACAACAGCATTTGTATTAACTAATGTAAACAAAGATTCATTAATCCTGTAATAAATGTTCATTGTTTGTTCATGGTAGTTAACACATTAAGCGACACCTTATTGTAAAATGTTACCAGTATTTTTTATTTGTGAACTGTTGTTCATCTGTTCTTTTTAATAGTCAACTTATTTCGGGTCATCGCCATAAAAGATCTGTAAACGCGAAAGACACGAAGATATGATCTTTTTATTAAATCACGCTGAATGCTCACTAAAAACTGACGCAGTCATCACGTTTTCAGACCATTTCAACTTTTATTTTGACGTGACACAAAGTAGTGAGTGACACTAAGCGGGAGTTGTTAACTTACTTTATAATTAGTCAATAACGCCATAATTTTCATCATTCAGGCCGAGAGCTCGCACGAAAACAAGAGGCAGTGTTGCCAGATTGGAAATGTCCAAGTATCGTACCAGAAGCTAAAAATTATCGTATTTGGAAGAAAATTATCGTTCACGAGTAAAAACGTACAGAATACAGCTATACATTTAGAGTGTCTGTAATGAGCCGATTTCATGTATGAATATAGAAGCCCTATGACTACAACTACCATCGTTTGAATTGTCATAAAATTATGAAATTATCGTACATTATGGGATTTTTTTCATTATTGATCGTACATCGTACAGAGGTCAAAATTATCGTACAGATACGATAATTATCGTACGTCTGGCAACACTGACAAGAGGCGGGATTTATTGCGTGAACCTTTAATCATAACCGATCATATCCAATCATATCGCGATGGAGACAGTGCCTCCTCTCACGTGACTTTCCCCCATTCATTCTCAATTACAACCCAGAAAAGGCATGCTAAGGGCTCTCTGTTGTAAATCTATGGACTGAAGGGAGGCAAGCCTCCGCTGTAACTTTACCTGCGGGTGTCGCTGTTGGACTGTGTTACTTTATAAAAACGAGTGTCTTTTATACTTTTAATGCCATATTTTGTAATATTTGTGATTTATGTTTGTAATATCGATTATTTTGTCATCCAATTCTTTGAGGAGACACAGCCTCCCTTGCCTCCTCGGAGGGAACGCCCCTGCTGCTTATATACTTAGAGAGTCGCTGGTGCAGAATATTAAACAGAAGGACATCTGATCCTAACACAGCAGTGAGCTTTCGTGACCAGCAACTTGCTAATGCATAAAGGCCTCTATTAATTAGTATTCCTCTGAAGTTGTTCTCGCAGTGATTCATCAAAATGACAAAGACTCAAATTCCAGACGGTACAAAACCTTGGCCTAAAATTGGCCTGTCAGTAGGAAATGGAGTAGCAGCTGTCAGGGCACTACAGGCTTCAAGGGAACCCAACTTATTTGTTACCAACCCCTAGTTTTTCACAGCCATGTGCAGCTTTGATAAGTTTGCGCTTTCTGCCCTCAGTAGCTATGTGAACATTTGGCTTCTCACCAATTTTTTTTTTCTACCTAATCTTTCCCATCCATACCTCCTGGATTTGCCTAGCTGAGTGTGGAGCCACTTCTGTGGGCAGTCAGGGTGTCCTGCTGTCCCCCAATTACCCAGCAAATTACGACAACAACCATGAGTGCATCTACTGCATTGAGACCGACAGAGGCAAGGGGATTCAAATCACAGCCACCACCTTTCAGCTTCACGAGGGAGATTTCCTCAAGGTAGGAATGACCAACATGAGACATTTTATATCACTGTACATTATTTTTAGGTGGATGTTTGGTTAAAAAAATATGTATACATACATATAACCTAATTGAGTAGAGAGGACAAATATTCCAAAACTTTCTGAAAATACAATATGATAATTAACTGCACAATTACTAGAAATGTGCACCTTGGATATTATACAATTTGCATACATACAATTTTTTGGGGAAAAAGACGAATGGATCAAATTGTGAATTAAATACTAGGATATTACTTAATTTATTGATTTATTGATTCATCCTTTCATTAATTCATTTAAATACTACAACTATTTAAATTGAAATCATAAAATGTAGAGTTCAGACTCTAAAGGCCACATCAGTTGAATTCTGTGTGAATGTGGTCAGTTGTGACGTTGCAAACACCAAATAGAGTTTCAAGAACTTTGATGAAGTTTGGCGATTGCAACACCTCTGCAATACTGTTAACATGTAGCATATATATATACTGTATATATATTGATATATATTGAGCACTGTAATGTATACAAACCGTGATACAAACCGAACCGTGAGTAAGTTGAACCGTTCCACCACAATTTGCATACATACCATTTTTTGGGGAAAAATAATTCTGTCTCAGAAAAATTGAATTCTGTGTGAATGTGGTCAGTTGTGACGTTGCAAACACCAAATAGAGTTTCAAGAACTTTGATGAAGTTTGGCAATTGCAACACCTCTGCAATACTGTTAACATGTAACAGTTTGTAATCCATGAGAGACCAGCAAATGGGACTTGGAGACACCATTAACTATTCATAGATTAATTTACGTTACAGTGCTCAAGGCACATGTACCATCACAGAAGAAAGATGGTCCCTTAAGACCAATAAGGCCACTAATTAAGTCACAAATGAAGGATAAGAATGAGGTGCAATTCCAAACACATAAATTTCGTCACACTTATAGTGATTCTGTTGCAATGAATCATCAAAACATTGTCTGTCAACATTAAGGGATATTTATCTGTCAGCAAATTAGGTCTTAGAATTGTATATCTGGCAAGGTTTGCCAGATTTGTAAGGACACCACTATTCCCTCATTAATGATGGTATTGATTGGACATTTTAGTTGATTTCAGCTGATTTTTGAGGCTGTTTTATCAGTTTGCACCATTGTAGACAATCAGCGGAAACAGTCTGTCCTTAGACCAGTGGCAAATTCTACACATGCAATCTGGAATCACATGATATTTTCCATTAAAGCTTGAAACAGTGTCCTCTGCCACAGAAAAGTGGAAAACTGCTGCTTGACATTGATTTATGACCTTTAATATTTTTCCCTATGCCGCAGTGTTTGCCACCTTCTCTTTGCAGAGGTTATTGTTTCAAAATATATGCAATTTCACAAAGCAATGACATAATTCAGACACCAAAAGGCAATATTTTGAGAAAACACTTGTTTTGTATTTTTTAACACAAGGTATATTATCAGAACGAGCATTTCTGTGACTGACTGCTGACAAAACAAGTAAACATTCCTGCTTCTTTTGGTCTTTGGTTTTCATAGGTTTATGATGGTCAAGATAGTTCATCAAGACTCCTGGGCAATTTTACAAAAAACGACATGTCTGATGTCATCCTCAACAGCACGTCCAACCATCTCTGGATGGAGTTTAACAGCAATGGTACCGGTTCCAGCAAAGGATTCAAGCTGTCGTACAGTAGTAAGTTAAACGAAATGCCAATAAAGGCTCCATCCATTAATCACACACTAATTCTTTAGAAACAGCTACACAAGCTTTATATATGAAGTAACTCTTCTGAATGAATCGTATAAACATGTCTAGTGGTATTCCCCTGTGTTTGGGTGAAATCTCTTGCTTCTTCAATTTTCCCTCCAAACGTGTTTTCCTTGCCTGTCACTCAATATAAAGTCACAATCAATATACTGACACTGTCAGATAGTAAAAAAAAAGATCATATTTACTGTAAACACTGACAAATCTAGCATTCACTTTGATTAAAAATGAATGGTGGTTTGAAACTGATTTTCAGCTCAATTTATGGAATTGTCACCACACTGAGACAGTAATTTGATGCCTGACTGCTGACAGTTTTGACAAAATAATCATATTTTGCACATCCCGCATGCACTAAATACAGTAGCCATTTTGCTTTCTGATTTTGCTAACTATACTTAAACTGTGGGAAATGATCTCAAATTTCCCAAACAAACCTTTTTTTATCATTTAATTATCAAGGTTGTGAAACAGAAGCGCAATAGTTTAAATAAATAAATACACACATACACAAAGTTAGTATTCTTCTTATTATTATTACTACACTCACACACACACAGATTCTGACAGTAAATGCGTAAAAAGCAAATACTACTACTCTAATTACAAGAAAGAACGAGTAGAAACAAAGACAGTAAAGACACAGCATGTGCAAGATATTACGGTTTTAATTGCTGGTCAGAGACAGTCAGATAATATCCTCATTATCCACTCCTCATTATTTCCTCGTTAAGACTACCACCATCTTCCCAGCCAAAAGAAGGAGAACAGTAAATGTATTAAAAAGCAGCTCTGCAGGTTTATTGTTTTTTGGATGACACATTTTTTGAAAAGGCTTGAAATGTTCCTGCATTTGGAAATGTGCGTTAACCAGTCAGGTAGAATGGACGGCATGTTTGAAAGGGTGATCTTTGAGTTGAGCATATGCTGTGCTGGTATTAATTTAAGATGGGCTCCTGGGGGCTGCATAGGTAATTGGTGTGAGCAGGTGTAGCTTTTATTGCACCACCTTTATGTCATTATTAAGCAAGAGGCTGATCCAGCCTGCCAGGGGGTTGATTTCAGGTGGCCAGATGTCTTTTTTTACCATTCAAATTGGCTTACAGGTTTTGACCTTGTCAAATGTGAGGAGCCGGGGACGCCTAATTATGGCTACAAAATCCAAGACGATGGCCATTTTGCAGATACATACGTTTTGTACAGTTGCAATCCTGGATACACACTGCATGGAAGCAGCACGCTGACGTGCCTCAGTGGAGACCGTAGGGTGTGGGGCAAACCACTTCCATCTTGTATTGGTGAGTTCACAACATCAACAACTACACAAACTAATGTACTTCGATGATATAAAGACCCTAGACCATAATCTGTACCCATCTAAAGCCGTTTCATATCGAGTGATGGTCTTGCTGTACTTTGCAAGAAAATGATTCTTTTCACATTTGATCTTTCAAGTGAAGGTTTTCTCTTCGCTTGTTTGTCATTAAATGTTTGTCAGGGAATGACTTGAGTTCCTATCCCTCACGAAAACCTGTCAAAGAGTCTCTTAATTGGTTGTCAGCATTTGTCATCACTTCTAAATCTTCAGTGAAAAGCAAAAAAAAAATCAGTGTACTGGAAAGGATGAGCATCAAAACAATCCTTAAATACCTCAAATATATTCTGATACAAATGCTATGAAATTTAGACTTTAAAACTTATACATGAAAATTGAAGGCTTAGTTATGGAAAATAATAATATATTCTGATACAAGTGCCATGAAATTTAGACTTAAAAGCTTAAAATAAATAAATAAAATAAAATAAAATGATTGTCATATCACATTAAAATGATTCAATCTAACAGATCAGGAAAGTTTTACTGTGTTTAGTGATAAGCAGGCGTTTGGCTGTCTTTCTTTCTATCTAGTGTTATGCAGTTTAGCCCAAGGGGCCTTTAGTTTTTTTTTTTACCCTACCATATATTTGGCTTGGATTTATATATTTTTGGCTTCAGTAAATTTTGATGATGAAGTTCAGCAGTTGCACCATTCTTTGCCCTCTCCAACTCATGTAACAAGTTGTAATCCAAGAGAGATCAGCAAATGGGACTTAAAGGGGTCATATGATATTGCTAAAAAAACATTATTTTGTGTATTTGGTGTAATGAAATGTGTTTATGCGGTTTAAGGTTAAAAAACACATTATTTTCCACACTGCGCACTATAGCTCAGTTGTATGTGTTTTGATGGACAATTCCCTTAGAGTCACAATGTGACAATGTGCAATGTAATTGGACAGTTGCAAAGCGGATTAATATTCCTGCCACAAAGCGGATCGCATTTCCAACATTACCATTAGTGGGGAGGAAAATACAGACCATCGCCACCCATTTCCAAAATGGCCCTTGCACAGAGCTCTGGATGATCATATAATTTGCCGACTTAATTGGAAATATAAATCCCAATGCACACAACATTAGGGAGAGCTTTAATCCACACCTCTGCACTTGATGCATGATGACACATCGTAAATGTGCAGGGTCAGCCATGTCACTTTTAAATATCACAACGTCCTGAGGGGCCCAATTGGAACCAGGAGACAGCAAACATATTAAAATCCTGCTACAGCCCCCGTCTCCAAACAATTACTCTCTCTCTCTCTCCCAGTGTTCGAATTGTGTCAAAGCTCTTGGGGGGTAAATAGACCCTCTCCCCTTTCAATCAATCAATAAATAAAAGCTTATATAAATATGATTCATATTTTTTTGTCTCGTCCTCGTTATCGTTGAGTAAACCTAATTCTAAGATAAAAGCTTATTTTACAATGATCAATGAATTAGGTACCAAGCAATCACTAAGCAAAGAAGTTAACAATCACTAAGCAAAGAAATTAAATATCTAGCCTAGTGGTGTTTTCCCTAGGTATCCCTATTTTCTGGTATTTTATCGATAACGATAATCAAATGATATTTTGCTGAGTGTGTTGCACTGCAGGACTGACGTACATGGACAGCTGACTCCTAAAATTGTTGATATTCTTCATATTCTGCATGGTCAGTTCACAGCAGTGACTGAAATTAATCTTTTCTAACAAGTTTTTTACCCTTTATGGGCATTTTTACCTTTATGAAGCCATTTTTTTTTCTAGAAGTGTGCATTATATTTTGCGTCACATTCTTATATTTAATCAATAAATTCAATTAGAATAATAAGACATTTGGGGCTGTTACCAAGCAAATAAAATCATTATCAACAAAATTCATCTTTGCATGCAGAGGAAACACAGAAGCTGCATCTGAAGAGGCATTTAGATGTATTTAATGCAGGACATGAATGCATGTAACCTGCAGTTACAAATGCATAAATAATGTTTTGATATTTTAATCTTAAAACGTTGAATACTGATATTTGAAATTATTTCAAAAAATGAAAAGGTACTTTATATGTGAAATTAAAACCGCCAGTAGGTGGCAGCAAGCCACTGTTAATAAGCGAGTCATTGCGATTGAACTGAATCATTCAAACGGTTGATTCAGTCAGGAACGAAACACTGTCATGTTGCTCAGACGCAAAACAGTGCTGTGGCTGTTTGAAAAAAATTTTTGTTGGCGAAATAGAGCCAAAATAGGCAATAAAACGTAAGTCTATTAATATTAACTTTATTGAACTGTTGTATGAAATCAATATCACATTTGTGACTTTTGCGAAACAATGGCACTCTTCGTGTGATATTGATTAACTATATGCAATTATAATATATTTTCTGCCCCCATATCTTGAATTTTGGGAGCATTCTAAATGCATTTTATTAGACTTGAATCATGCAGTGAAAGAACACACTCTAAATGAGCAGTCAGTCTAGCTTGCTAGCACTCATAACTCCTCTTATAATCTGCATGATAAATTAATCTCTTCATTTTATCGTACGTACGTACATCTGCACTTTTGTTGCTAATGATGAGGGAGTTTGCGAGTTTCAGTCTAAACAAAATTCAGCGATGACTAATCTGAACGCCTCTGATTGGCTACTGTATTTCTAAGCTCAACAGAATCGTGTGTGATTGTTATAATGAGCAACTCTGTAAAACGCGTAAAAATAAAATGCGATGTAACATGAGCAGGTCTAAATTTAATACAGCAATCGAATCTTTTCATTTAATTCTCATTCTCACTAGTTTCATGTTTCAAGTATTAGAGTTTTACTGAAAAACCAGGGGACCCCCCAAGTATATATTTTTTGGTGTTATGGGGGGTCCCTTAATGCTTATGGGAGGTCCGGGACCCTCCCCAGCCCCCCCTCAATTCGAACACTGATTTCCTCAGCGACCAGCACGGATCAGCTCTAGGCATGACGAAGCGGATATCGTCCACTTTTGGAAGGCCAATCAAAGTAGTTTCGCTTTCACAACGAAACACACAGTGCCTTCACGACATGGCGGCAACAACAATACTACAGCGAGAATAAAAGTTACACCTTCTTTCTTTGCGTGAACATTTGGGCGGCGTTATGCAAATCTTCCCCCATCGTGACGTAGACATGTGGGGGCGTGTTAGAACGAGCCGTTTTAGGTAGGTGTGGTTGACTCTTAAATTTTATAAAGAATATCTCTTTGGATTTGAGACTTTAGTCTTTGCAACTTTACAGATCTTCTTTATGCACCAAGAGCTTGTAACACTCCAAAGAGAAAGGAAAAATTGAAATCGCATCATATGACTCCTTTAAGCAAAGGGAATTCCATTAACTATTCATATTAATTTACGTTGCAGTGCTCAAGGCACATGTACCATCACAGAAGAAAGGTGAAGTTTGATCATGTTTCCCAAAGCTGATATTATATTCAGTATTTCAGTATGTAGAGTTTGCAGACCCTCAGAGATTTATTTTGCTTTATCTTAACCAGACAGATATTGCTTGCGCCTTCTGGTGAACCTGGTAAGAGACAACATTCCCATTGACTCTATAGATGATTTGTAAGATTTGGATAGTCTGATGACTTAAGACAAATATCGCAGTTGAAGTTGGCCTTTTTTTTACTTTTATGCAAATGCTGCACATATTTAATGCAACTATAAATTGCACTACAAATTTATATAAAAACTAGATGTTTTTGCAAATGAATGAGTTGGAACAAATAATGAAGAAGTAGATTTAGAGAGAGATTCTATGAGTAGAGCTAGAAGATGATAATGATAAGAAGATGATCATAATAAAGAATTAGTACAGTAATATGACCTTAAGTATCATGTACCCTACTTTGATGTACAAATACCTTGATATATTAATTGAGGACCTGTATATCAAGTAAGTAGCTATTATCATCTGATACATCACTGTACCATGGTACCACCAATTAATTTATTGTGTGATGGAAAGATCATGTCATCAGATCAGAATAGTTGTAGAGAGTAGTATAGTAGTTACAGTAGTAGTTAATGCCTAATCAAAGTTATCAAAAAGTACAAAACTTTGCATACTACACAAAACAGTCCCACAATGAATGCATCAAATATTACAAATTCATGATCTCAAATAATTTATATATATAAAAAAAAATGTTTATAGTATTGTACTCTGTGACTTCCTGGAAGTATGGACATGTTCTACAACGGGGTGGTATACTGAACTTGAACCGATGGAGAGATGCTCTCTCACTGTGGTTAGGATGAGGTAAATGATGTATACTTACACAGAGAGTATTTTAGGATAGACGCATTACAGTCTTTACCGTGCTGTACTCATTCCTTAATTAAACATTCTTGGGTAAGATGCAGTTTGAGAGAATGGTGTGGAAAATAGAGAATATTGCCTTGAGCCGACATTGTACTGTCTGCATTTATTTAGAATTAGTCGACATAAAAAACCCATTTTCTATTTTCTCTGCAAGCTAAATTATATACATAATGGCTAAAAATACCCATAGTATACTATCATTTAACTTCAATGCGGCTTCATTTAAATGTTTATATTTGGACTATAATTTAATGCTACAAATCTAAACAGTCTAAAAAAGTTCCCTTTGCTTACACTGCTTCATGGTTTGCATTAAAGATGTAACCTCTAACTATGATGTCCTCTTACATTAGCATTCTTCTTAGATGTATACGCTGAATTATTATCTGTGTCATATTAATTCATTTTGTCGTAATTTGTAGTAAACTAAAACTTGATTTTATTGTTTTGTTGCTTGCAAGCACTGATATTTCCTTCTGGAAATGCAAATCTAGTTAAAGACCTAAATTATTGTGTGTGTGTGTGTGTGTGTGTGTGTGTGTGTGTGTATCGGCGCGGGCGGCGCAGCAGGTTAATAAGCGAGTCATTGCGATTGAACTGAATCATTCAAACGGTTGATTCAGTCAGGAACGAAACACTGTCATGTGGTTGTGTCTGTCACTGTCAGCTGTGGCTGTTTGAAAACATTTTTTGTTGGCGAAATAGAGCCAAAATAGGCAATAAAATGTCTATTAATATTAACTTTATTGAACTGTTGTATGAAATCAATATCACATTTGTGACTTTTGCGAAACAATGGCACTCTTCGTGTGATATTGATTAACTATATGCAATTATATAAATATATAGGGGAAGTCGTGGCCTAATGGTTAGAGAGTCGGACTCGTAACCCAAAGGTTGTGGGTTCGAGTCTCGTACCGGCAGGGATTGTGGGTGGGGGGAATTTGGTGAGCAGAGAATGTGAGTGGAGTGGAGCAACAGCAATTTCCCCTCCGCGCTCAGAGCGTCTGTAATCACTCCGCTACAGCTCCACTCCATCTCTCGCTTCCAGCTCACAGGTGAAAGAAACCCCTCTCCATAGCATACAGTAACAGTGTTTTTTTTAACATCATCTAGCTCAAGATGTATTAACTGAAATCATGTTTGTGTAATTCCGTACAGTTGCGAGGGTGTTGCATTAGTATGATGACATGGTTGTTCGCATTTTTCAAAAGACTGTACTGAGAGGACAGACTGAGGTTTTACCCTCCTTCAGATTTTATTTTCATGTTAAAGGGATATTTCATGTTTTATTATTTTATTTTTTTTATTGGTAACATTTAACTTAAATTAGTGAAATGCATTTATGTAAACAATATATATTAAACAATTTACTAATAAATAATGTGTAATTAAGCTGTGTGTTGATAATATTTTTCTTGCATTTTTATGTCATATCTATATGTGACCCTGGACCACAAAACCAGTCATAAGGGTACATTTTTTGAAATTGAGATGTAAGCATCATCTGAAATAAATAACCACTGATTTCTAGTCGTGTCCTCTTTTGAAAGAATAAATGAGCTTTCCATTAATGTACGGTTTGTTAGGATAGGATATAAATAGAGATACAACTATTTGAAAATCTGGAATCTGAGGGTCCTTAGCAATGCATATTACTAATCAAAAATTAAGTTTTGATATATTTACAGTAGGAAATTTACAAAATATCTTCATGGAGCATGATCTTTACTTAATATCCTAATGATTTTTGGCTTAAAAAAAAATCGATATTTTTTTTTTGGCCATTGCTACAAATATACCCCAGCGACTTAAGACTGGTTTTGTGGTCCAGGGTCACATATAACGTTATATAGGTTCATAATACAATTCAATTGCTGGCAAAAAGGACCCTGCTGGTGAATGAAATGTCACTTATGAGCGGTGTGGAGATATTTGAATGAATAACGCTGTGTTTGTGGAGAGCAGAACTCGCGGTTGTCCACCCACACATCCCACAGAGACAGTCATTGTTGTGACTTAAGTTGATCAGTGCTGTGTTTACATGCCAGCTGCAGTGCTGTGCTCAACTCGAGGAGGTCAGACTACAGCCCTGTTGAGTGTAAATAATATAAATCCCAGTGGCTCAGTATAGGAATAAATATATTCTGAAGGCCTTTGGGTTTGATCAGTTCAGTGCTGAGGAAAATATGTTTTGTGTGCATTTAGTAAGTATTACATTATTGCCAAAGATGATCCAGCCATATTAATGAGGTCACATTTTGCTTCGTCTTTTAAAACAAATCCAAATACACTTTGAAAAAACGATAATAATGATGTGTATTTTAGAGCTGTCAAAATGCATTTCACAGGAAATTGCATTATGTAATATCCATACACAAAGAAATGTGGATTCAGCTGTGGGTAGATTGAAGCTGAATGCTCATTTGTCATAACGAATGAGAAAAATGGATGATGATGATGATGAAGATGATAATGATAATTAAAAATGGCAAACTCCTGGGAATAACCTGTTGTAAAAACAAAAACAATAATGTTATTTAATATGTCCATTCGCTCTGTTAAGATCTATATCTGTGCCTCGAACCACATTCGAGGAGCATTGTTCTTCTGCAAGACGCATGCAGTTTTATTTTTAAACTAACATTTTTAAATTATGAATTATGAATAAATTTTTAGGACATATATTTGTGAACTCTGGACCAAGGTTATTATAGTTATGCATTTTTAAATTTCCCTAAACCGACACACAGCTCATATATTTTTCCGCCACAGGGTGAGAACGTAATGATTACGAAAACGATTATTTATTTTTGATAATTATTATTTTATTTCAGTTAGTTTTGCAATAACTGTTGTTAGTTTCGTTTCGTTTTAGTTTTTTCATTTATTTAGATTTTTAAATTTTATTTCAGTTTTTGACAATGTTTTTTGACCAATCGTTTTCGTCTTAGTTTTCGTTTTCGTTTACGAAAATAACCTTGCTCTGGACTTCTTATTTTATCAAATAATTGAAATCAATCATATTTTAATTTGCAGATGTTTTGTGCTTATTATGGATGTAATGTTTTTGAATGTCTTTGAAAGAAAATATAGCAACATTGAATATTCTCACTGTTTTTGACCTTCCCAGCCTCCACTTCATAGTCTTTGACACGGAAGTGGACCATGACATTCTGAAGGTTTGGGATGGACCAGCGGAGAGTGGCATTCTGCTGAAAGAGTGGAGTGGATCGCTTTTACCCGAGGACACTCACAGTACCTTCAACATCCTCACGCTTCAGTTTGACAGCGATTACTTCATTAGCAAGTCTGGTTTCTCCATCCAGTTCTCTAGTATGTATCAGCTTCTCTGTGACTGTGTTCAGACCAGCATACTCGCATATAACTTTTAGTATATATCTTTGCAGTATGCACACTGTATACTGTCTGCAGCTTTTCAATATGCATGGCAACTGGATGTGCAGTACAACCTTAGCATGCTGCATGAAATACTCCATTCTACAATGCACTGCGCTCACCTTGATTTTCTGTTACCAGCGTTAGTAATGTTGTATCAGCATACCATTCTTTCTTGGCTCTTTTTTTATTTTATTGGACTGCCAAAAAACAGTTTTTAGATTGAAACTACAAAATAATTGTATTTCCAAGATGATAAGTCTGTCATCTAAATGCAATGGCACGCAGTGTAGTGTATAGTATAGTGTATGCTGTGCAACATGCAGTAAGTAGTAAGCTATTGTTATAACAAAGCCTTTCTCTCTTGTAAATTTCCTCAGATCTCTCTGCTCTCATTATACATTGTTTATGTATTTTGGCTATGGAGCATATTTTTGTTAAGAGAGCAGAAACGGTTGCATATTTTATTTGACTTTTTGACAGTAATATGATATGATTGATGAAATATAATGAAATTAAAATCTCCATAAACATGAGTTTAACACCATCGCATATGTGAGCTGCTGTGCGACTTGGCATATTTAGTCAAGAGCAGAGGTCCGTTTTCCCATGAATAAGTGATTTTCCGCTCGCTCTAATGTCTCACTGATCCACAGCTGATTCAAAATGTATCTTTTTATTTCAGCTACAGTTGCCACGACCTGCAATGACCCAGGGACCCCTCAAAATGGGACACGCTACGGAGACAGCAGGGAGCCTGGCGACACCATTTCCTTTCAGTGTGACCCTGGGTACCAGATTCAAGGAGTGTCTGAAATCACTTGCGTTCAGCTCAACAGCCGATTTTTCTGGCAGCCGGACCCACCCACCTGCATCGGTGAGATCCGACTTGAGTCTGTGCTTTTTAGTTTGCTTACTGGAAAGCTCCTTACAGAGTAAAAAATGGATACCCTGTTAAATACATCCCTTCATTTTTTAAAAGTGAAATATTAATATAAATTACAGCTGTCAATGAAATACATTGATTTAGAGTGATTAAATACAGACACAAACAAAGCAAAACAAAGATACTTTAGAAATACAGATGATACAACAGAACCACTGTTTGTTTGCTTGCTTGCTTGTTTGTTTGTTTTTTCATTGAAATGGTCCAACGTTTTTACACGTTTTATATGATAATATAGTTTTCTCTGAAGTACATTAGATTTTAATGTAAATAATTTTTTTTTTTTTATGTTGCAGCCTCATGCTAAAATGCTTTAAATGACTTTTTCAAATCAAACTGGACTCCATAGACCATAATCCCAAAGCTGGAAACAGATTTGGGTTAACTTTGCAATGTATTAAAAAATTAGGTAGCACTTTAGTATAGGGACCAATTCTCACTATAAACTAGTTGCTTATTAGCATGCCTGTTATTAACATATTGGCTGTTTATTAGTACTTATAAAGCACATATTCTACATGACCATATTCTACATCCCTAATACCTAAACTTAGCAACTACCTTACTAACTAGTAATAAGCAACAAATTAGGAGATTATTGAGGCAAAAGTCGTAGTTAATGGTTAATAAAGTGTGACCAAAAATCTAAACTTAAATAATTACTCTGGGGTCATCTTTAGGATGTTTCTGCACTTTGATTGGAGTCCATCACAATTAATTTGACTGGACATGTTTTGGAAAGGCACATACCTGTCTATATAAGGTCTAGCATGTATAATTAAGGTATAACTGGTCTAATGCATATCAGAGCAATAAGCAAAGACATATTATGGCTAAGTGGCCTCTCCTCAGGACATGATACATGAAAACCTGCTTGAAGTGCCTAAAGGACTCTCAGACTATGGGAAACAAAATGATCTGGTTTGATGAACCTCAATTCCAAGCATCATATCTGGAGTAAACAAGGCACTGCTCATCACCGGTGAAGCATGGTGGTGACCTATCCAGGCTCATTGGAAATACGTGCCTCTACCTACATTTCTGCAGAACTAAAAAAGCATACCTATACGTACAAATCGCTGCAGTTTGAACACTAGAGGCAGAAAAACTCAGAAAACTTTTAATCCTTTTCACACAAAGTATGATTTACTGGGACAGAGTTTCCAACACTGTTTGCTTGGTAGCTCACGTGATACAGCGTTGCACTTGTAAGGTGAAGTGCTTCAGTACGAATCCTGTGAAACTAAGGTTCGACAAAACAGCTCAAACCTGCGTATAAGAAAGTAAAATAGCACGGTTGCATCAACGATTGTGTTTTTATATCACTTTGCATTTGCTAACACTATCGGGTTGGTTTAGGGTTGGGTTTGGTGTATGTTATTTTCCAACACGATGAAGCATTAACGTTTAGTGACGATTCCCGGACATTTAAATTCTGAACCGCCACAATACATACCTGGACCAACGTAAGATAAATGCAGCAAAACGTGCCTGTACCAACATAATAAAAACATGGCCATGGTCACACATTGAACACACATTTTTTAGTGCCACTCACTGGACTTTTTACTTTGGAACTGCAGCAAAACGTGCAGTAAGGTACCGTAATATGCAGAAACGTTGCCATAAGGCAAGCATGCATTTCCAATGAGCCTTGGTTAGTGGTGACTGCACTCCATCATGCTGTGGGGGAAGCACTGGTACTGGTCATGGTAGAAGGAAACCTGAACATACCAAAGTACAGAAATATCCTTAATGAAAACCTGATCCAGAGCGCTCAGACGGGACTGAACATTAACCTTCCAGTAGGACAATTATTCTAAGGACACAGCCAAGACAATACAAGAGTGGCTTAGGTACGACTCTGTGAATGTCCTTGAGAGACTCAGCCAGAGCCCAGACTTAAACCCAGTCAAATATTTCTTGAGAAACTTGAAAATGTCTGTCCACCGACGGTCTCAATCCAACCTGAGAGAACTGAATACTTTCGCAAGGCAATGTATATCAAAATCTAAAACCATCACTGTACCATTGTACCACCACAGTACTTTTTTGTAACTCTACTCAGTTGTCCACTACCAATCATAAAGTCATAGCATTATAAAACTGTTCAAACTTAGCATTCATGTATCAGGTGGTCTTGTAGAAGAGATTTAAGAGAGATACATATTAGCTCAGCATTATAGGGAAAAGTAGAGGTGTCTCACCCACTGCATTACAAAGTTGCTTTTATATTATTACCATGACCTTCTCTCAGACCTCCAGTATTTTTCTGCTTCTTTTCTCTCATTTTTTTTTTCAGTCAGGCAGTATGCTCTGCACCTTCTAAGCATGTTAAAGAATAGCTTTTTTTTCTCCAGTGTCCCTATTGACTTTTTTTGATGTCATGCTTTGCCAGTTGCCATGAAATTTTACAAGGTCCTCTCGGGTTCAGGAAGCAAACATCCCATTCATCTTCTCCGTAGAGAAATTGATTTTTAATGATAATATTTAAACCATTCAAGGCAGACCTAGCATGAGCTCAGAAGTTGTTAGAGGATGATAAGAACCTTCATTAAACAAAAAAAAGCATATAAAATTACTGAGCATATAATTCTGTACCATAAATTCTAATCGGTCTTATTTTACATATTGGGCAATAACCTGGTCAGTAGTTTTATATAGTGCTGGGCGGTATGACCAAAAATGTATATCACGGTATTTTTCAAAATGATACCGCGAAAAGGGCCCCCTTTCAAACAGTGTAGCGTTCCGAATGTTGTTTAAGCGTTTAAGCAGGTATTGTGGTATTTAAAAAATTCATATCATAACAAAAATAAACACCGGTATTCGGTATGAACCGGTATACCGCCCAGCACTAGTTTTATAGTGTATTGACTTTTTTCAGTCTTTTGCAGTGCTTCATGGGACGTAGTTTATTCTGTCATCAAATACATTAAGTACACAGTTTTTTACAGCAATACTTGCTCCATATCAAATTTTTTATCTTGTGATCTCAGAGCTCATTGATTTGGTTCATGGCTTAGACTATTTTTATTGAAAAATTGTTTTAGATGCATAGAGAAATACTTCCAGAACCAAAGCCAGCAAAAATTGGCAGGTCCTATCATAACAGTGCTGCTCAGTGCCAAACTTCAAATACAGTTTTTTTTTTTCTTTTTTTCTTGGCCAATGTAGTCAGTATATCAATGGTTGTTTCTCCGAACAAGACATCCCCTTCACATCTACAATTCTCTTAGATGGTTGGTTAATAAAGTCCTGCCCAATCTCCTTTACAATACATCTTAGTTCCATTTATTGATTATTATCATTTAATGTTGTGGGGTGTAGTTGTCCTGCTATATTAACTGATAATGAGCTCAGAGTAATCATCCTATAATCAGGCTGCTGAAACATTGTTTATTTTTACCGTGTTGAAGGATCACATTAAATAATCTCTCGTCCTCACTCTCCTTGTTATAACAGCTACCTGCGGGGGCAATGTGACAGGGCCTGCTGGGGTAATTCTATCACCCAACTATCCCCAACCCTACCCACCAGGAAAAGAGTGTGACTGGCGGATAAAAGTCAACCCTGACTTTGTCATCGCTTTAATCTTCAAAAGGTAATGTGCTCACACAGCACTGAGTGCCTCTCACTCTCATGACACTCGAAGGGGTGTAACATCTCTTACAGGGTTATATTCACAAGTGCATTTTTAAACTACAGTTTCTATAAATTTGAAGTGTATTTGAACATATTTAGTCTGATTTTAATTGTGAAATGGGGTTGCGAATTGAGAAATTGAGAAAGATTTCTCTGATATCTTGATCTCTACGTTTATTGTGCTACATAAATATACTGTAAGATTCAGAACTCAGACCTTCCTCATTAGTCCAACAATTGCTTTAATTAAAACCAAGCTGCTAAAACAAGTCATTTTGTAATTCCTACATTTATTACACAATAGAGATTAATACAAGACTCCCTGCACAGGCACAGAACAACACCTGCTTCTTCATCATTGTCTCTTTGGCCTATCCATGAACCGACAGGATAAAAATGTCAAAAGGCATCACTGGACTAAAAATAGCTTTACTATTCAAAGGATACTAATGATAGGAAATTGACTATTGATGCATTTTTGGTAAACCAATCACAAATCGACACAGACTTTGCAAATAGACTTTTTAAAGAAATATATAAAACTGACAGTATTGCCACAACACTATTTTAATTATAATGCTAAATAATACTCCCTTTAAAATCACTGGAGCTGTCAGTCACTTCAGTTCAGTGCTGACTGAGTTCTGTACTCTGGCCAAAAATCCCGTTATAATCAATGCCGCTGTCTACACTTCTCATTGAATCTCATATTTAAATTGTGTTTGCATTGTGTTGATTGTGTTGTTTATAATGAAAGCACTTGTGAGAGTGCAAATTTCAAGTTACAATGGCAAGATCATTGTGTTCACACACTCAACAGACATGACTGTGATACAATGTTCAGCAATGGGAGTAGATCTAAATGTTATGCTATAATCAACCCTTTCATCAAATAGTTGATCTCAGAAGGTGTACTAGTCAAAAACATACCAAAGGTTTGCAAAAGATACCTTAAACAGAACATTTAAACAAGGGGTTAAAATCAGGGTGGAAAATGGTCTTTTATTTGTAAATTATGACCATTGTTGATGTAAAAAAAAATCATACTAATTATATCAGTGCACAACAGGAAACAACAACAAAAAAAAATAATTTAGTTCACGACCCCTTTAATAAACAAACATTCAGTGAACAGGGAGTATGCCAGGTACATATGTGGCATTTCTAGACAAATCAATATGCCGTTGCCAGATTACATTGAGTCAATATTTCATTTTGTTTAATAAATAAACTTTAACTTTATCATTGTGGGGCTCTTAATTTCAGAGAATACTATAATTTACCTTAAAGTCTTTAAAATGGAGCCAGACTGCATGGAGCAGATTTAGAAGATGAAAACCTGAAACTGAATTTCTAAGAAGCTAATGATTTTTATTTATTTATTTTTTTTGTACTTAGGGGTGGAAATGCCTCAGTGTTGAAACATATTATGAATTCAAATCACTGCAGTTTATTATGAGTGTCATGTATCTCAGCCCTTGCACACAAATCCACAATCACAATCATCAACTCACATACTTGAATCTTTATGATCATGATTATGACTCTGATTGCTTATGTTTCACTCAGCCAAAATGATCAGAACTTCATGGACTTTAATTATAATTACAAAACAGACCAACTAGAAAGAAGGATTTACTTCTGGAAACTAGCAGGCTTTCTGATGAAGCAGGTTAAGCAAGAATGCATGGGTTGAACACGTTCCTGGATTACCATCCTTGTTTATTAAAAGCATTTATCAAATAAATAATAAAAATAGCTCCCTTAAATTATTGCATGCTTTAATATATGAATGCATAATATTAGAAAGCAATATTTATTTACATATTTTTTTTTACTAAAACATTTTAATTCATGAAAAGTGCCACACGGTTAAGTCTAAGCACACCGTATTGGTTAAGCATCTTAAGCTTCCTGGTTGGGATACCTGCACGTGACCTTTCAATGCAGAAGACTGACATCCAAAATTTAACATCTGTTTGTATTTGGAAGGGTGTTGTCAAATTTATATAAAATCAATGATTTCACTACATCAGTGAGACCTTATACATATAACAATCTCTAAATCTTTCTCCATTTGTTGTGCAGTTTTAACATGGAGCCCAGCTATGACTTCCTCCATATCTATGAGGGTGAGGACTCCAACGGACCCCTGATCATCAGTCTGCAGGGCAACCAGGTTCCTGAGCGCATCGAAAGCAGTGGAAACAGCCTTTTTCTGGCCTTCCGCAGTGATGCCTCCCTGGGGATGTCTGGTTTTGCTATCGAATATAAAGGCAAGTTTCACCTTGCAGGTGTGTGGTTTGTTCCCTTGAGGGCAGGGCTGGGAAAACGAGTGAAGCACAACCACTGGGTCGGTGTTCACTTTCAGATTATATTTAAGGGGCAAGTGTCATGAAGACATGTCCAGGTCACATGTTAAAACAAAACAAAACTTAGTGCTGCCCAGGTCAGATTTTTTGCATTGTGACATTTAAACACACATTGTCCTTGAATGTTTCTTTTTATTTTTATTATTAATCACACATTATATTAATGCACATGAAATTTGAGATAATCAGAATGATACAGTAAGGAGGAAATATGCTTAATTGCCATTAAAGTGCAAAAAATCTTAGCGATCCTAAAAATAGGCAACTTTTTTTTCTTTTATGTTTGGAGTTAAATATGACCTAGAGATGTTCTCGATGGGTTTCACTTAAACTGCATAATTCTCTTGGCTATAAAAGCCAAGAACGTCAGATAGTTTTGACTGCTATGTCAGTTAAAGCTGATGGACCCTGCAGTAATTAGATTTGCTTTCCTCTTAAATGAGTAACAATGGATTTTTGTCTTTTATGTGGACTGTAAAGGCTGGTAAAATATCTGAATTATCTAAGAACTGTGTCTTGGATGGAATTAGTTTCAGCATGACAATAGCTAATGTTGAGCATCCCTTTTGTAACTTACGAATTCAAGTAAGAATTCATTAATACTGTAACACCCATTGACCACTGACCCTGATGACCAGATAAGGATTCTAGAGTTTTGCAACTATTTTCTGCTCACCCTAAGAAGATGAGGCTGAGGGAGCTCTGACATGTTAAAAGCACACGCTGGATTTTTATATATTTGAGATGCTGATATTAAAGACCCTACTGAATTACAATTGGAGGGCTTTGTGGCTTTTAGCCCATGTCTATTAGATTAGATTAGTATGCTGGTATTCCTAAATTTGACTTCTAAACAAGTCTTTCTCTTCCAGGAAATTGAACACAAAATATTGATGACTTATCTTGCTCTCAGGGTCTCATCCAAAATGTGGTCCAATTAAATGCTCTCCATGAGAATGTCCCCTGAGTAGCAATAACAAGTAGCAAATATTTAAAGGGGTCATATGATGTTGCTAAAAAGAACATTATTTTGTGTATTTGATCTAATGAAATGTGTTTATGCGGTTTAAGGTTCAAAAAACATTATTTTCCACATACTGTACATTATTGTTTCTCCTCTATGCCCCGCCTTTCTGAAAAGCGTCGATTTGTACAAAGCTCATCGTTCTGAAAAGCGAGGTGTGCTCTGATTGGCCAGCTATCCAGTGTGTTGTGATTGGCCGAATACCTCAAGCATGTGACGGAAATGTTACCTGTATAGGGTCAGCATGCATGCCGAAGGGGAAACAGGGGAACTGAATTAACCAGAACACCGGCATTGTAGGCTACTCTCCCAGGAAACATTTTACACTTCTCCGTAAAATGCGCTGCACACATCTGAATATTTGGGTTGAACTGTTCTGGAACTGTGTTGCAAATACAACTTAACCACTGATTTATAGTTGTGTCCTCTTTAGGAAGACCAAACAAAGTAGTTTTGCTTTCACAACGAAACACACAGCGTCTCCACGACAGCTAGCTTGAAATCGCATCATATGACCCCTTTAATAAACGTAAGGATTTTGGATATTGTCCCAAATTCCGATTTCAGTAAGGAGTACGTCAACACAGCCACAGGTAGGACAACTACTGTATGTTCGTATAGCCATTTCATGGGGTCTTTAACAGCACCGCCAGATTTTGGATTTACTTGTGCCATTGGCATTGAAGTTTGGCATCTGTACTGATCTGTACTAGCAGTGAAGTAGTCGTCAGCTGCCATGTTCGTGGCATATAGATCTCACATCAGTTAATTAGCAGAAGTTATCACTCCACCGTATGCATGACGTCATTAATGTGACCATGTTTGGGAAACAGTCGTGAGTGGCTAGTTAGTTTCCACAATGGCGCATTGTACCGTGGTAGTTAATCAGTGAGTGACATTGTTGTACGAGAAACACACCCCTGGAGTGCTAAATTCATGCATTAGTGAAAGAGCATATGTTAAATGGCTCGCAAGGGTGCAACTTTGCTGTGATTAGTCAAAAAAAAGCTCTTAAGTGGTATTGAGTTATATGTTGTACTTCTCTTCAGCAATACTATTAACCTTTCTCAGTGAATACCTGGCAATATTCCCCACGGAAGAGCATTTTGTTCGCCAATTCGCTCTTTGTAAATGCTCTTTTAAAAAGAATGTGAGTTTGTATTGCGAAAATCAGGGCATGCGACAATGACAATGCACCGTCCCTAACGTGCTATGCACCTCCCTGAAATAAGTTCTACTCCCAGCGGCCCTTTTTATATGATGATTATGGTTGAGTAAAAGTGCAGTTCATGGATTGTTGAATATTTTAATTGTAATTATTTTAATGGCAGCCTATTGCACAGTGTAGATGAACTCTGACTTCAACCTTTTGTCTTTGCTCCACATGAATACCCAATGCATGTAAAAGCTTGCTTGCCAATGTATTATATTGCTTTGTTGATGGTCTCAACATCCCACAATGCTTCAGGATTTCACTTTCATGTCGTGCCATTAGGTTCGCCCCGTGTTTGTCGGGAAACTGAGAGATGCATGGGAGTTAGATTTTTGCTGTGAAAGCTCATCAGATAACACAATCACAATTCACAGGTGATGGGACTATTCGAATTCAGTGGTTGAAATCCTGGTGGAGCATCTAATTTTGCAGTATTGATTATATTTCTGATAGTATTTCATTGCATTTCTTCTGACTTCAATTTAAAGGTGAAGTATGTAATATCTGCTAAAACTGTTTTTAAAAAAGTTTTGAAGTCTATATCATTAGTGGGACATTTGTGTTGTTTCTGGATGTGTGTAGCACATGTTGCAAACAAATAAATAAACAGGTTTGTTTGGCATTTCAACAGTGATTGTGAATGATCACAATTGCATGAGTGATTTGCAAAGGTTCTGCAAAGACTGCAGTAATTGAAAAAAAAAAAAGCAATATAAATAAATAAACACTATGTATAAAAATGGTCTGTTTAATTTTTACGGGTGGGAGAGGATGGAAATGGTCATAAAAAGCTAAGTAATTTTATTTTTTTACAAAGTAGCCTTGACTAACATTGTAAGTGGACCTTTAATGTTTGATATGACCTTGTTAATATTAGAACTGCACATGTTTGGAGTAGGCGACATTGAAAGGATGCTGCTTTCTCCTTCATGAATCATTGGTGTTGTCTATGTAATTGTTCCCAAGCTCAGATCTGAAAGTGATTATATCATTGTTTGCTGTTTGTTCTTTGATTGCCACAACAACACTCTATTCTGAGGCCTAAATATGTATCTCACTCTCTCCATCGAAGCCTTAATTAGAACATGTCATATATTTCAATGAAATGATGGAGTCTTTTTCTCTTTGTAGTTGTATTTTCTTTTGATTAATTCAGTGTCCTTATTTGCTCACTGTTTCTTTATATAAAGCCAATCTTTTATCTGATGTTGTTCATCACACACCAGTAAACACAATTATTAATGCCTTTACTAGGGGAAAGAAATGAATATGACAATAATACAGTCCAAAGACTTTTATACCTTGAGGAAAAGCACAACAGACTGAGAAATAGAAAAACATTAATATATTATAGTGGCCCTTAAAAACATGTACAAACACGGTTAATTTATGATTCATTATTTTATGGATCCAGAAGGCAGTGAAAGTGGGCGATCTCATGACAATATGCATATCAGGGTAAGAGGGACTGTGAAGATTCTGTTTGAATTTTAAGCTTCCAACTCCTGAAGGCAGCATATATGATATAAATGATGACAGGATATTCATTTTTGGGGCCTATTCCTTTTAGCCTGTGTGGTACACTCCAGGTGCACTCACTGTTCCTGTGTTGTAGCAGAAACAAGGAAGACTGTGTTGCACACGTGCTATTTTGCAGACAGAATCTTCCCCACCTCCTTCCCACTTTCGCAGGTCCCTAAAGCTGTTAACTGTCAAGTTGTTTGGCAGCCTCTCCAAGCACCACCTCCGGAGCTTTCTCCAACTGTCCTTCTCCCTGTGTCGGGTGCCAGAAGGACAGAGACCATCTTCTGCTGCCCCGGCGCCTTCACCTGCCTTTCCCCTGGTGTTAGTTCGCTTTAATGCATGATGCCCTCAAGCAACTGTCTGCTCCCTCTTCACACTCACTGTCGATCTTGCTTTTTCCTCTTATGCTACCTCTCTTTTTCCTTCTGTCTGTTACCTGTCTCAGCCCTGGGAATGGCTGGCAGGGAACACAAGTGCAGGATACGATTGTGCATCTGAGTTGAATTACAGGTACTAGGGCTGTCAATCAATTAAAAATCATGTGATGAAATGACTGAAATCAGCATTTCTCAACAGGCGTGTTCTGAGAACATTGAAGGACGCTGGAAGGTGGCATTTGTTTAAGGCGGGTTTATACTAAAGATTCACGGTGAGACAAGCTAAAAGCTAAAACCTGTAACCGCTTGCAAAAGAATGCACCGATACCACTTTTTCCAGAACTCGTCCGATACGATACTTTTATTTTTGGTACTTGCCGATACCGAGTACCGATACCAATACCAATATTTTCATTGCATTTGTACATTTTTTAAATATTGGGTACAGAAACCAAAAGAGTATGTATAATGTTAGTTGGTTAACTTCATTTATCAAATAGATACAGTAAAACCAAAATTTATTCAGACACCTTCAACATTTCTCACATTATCACAGTTTATTCGCTATAGTTTAGAAAATGGTAATAAAACATGACAAGAACTCAGAGTTAAACTGTGTCAGAACAAATTCAGCTTGATAATGTTAGATAACTTTGATAGAAAGGTATGTAATAGATTACAATCAACCAAAAATGTTTCTCCATTGCAGCAGCTTAGTACTGTAATCACGCGATTTGCTGTAAAAATGCAAGGAACCACTCACTATAAATTTCCTAACTGTGATATTTTCATAAATAAAAGTTGTGTTTTTTTCATCTGAAACGTGCAGTGATTTATTTTCCAAAGCCACTCACATAATGCAGAAACACTCATGAAGCAAGCAAAACACGTGCAACGGCGCACACGTATTTGTACTGGTGCAGAATGAGAGGGACAAGTACAGACATCTTTAATCTCTAACAGCTCCATTCTGCTGTCTGTTGTCGGTGTTTCTTTGTCTGAATATAGCACTTATCACATGCTGTGTGGTATCGGCGTTTGGTATCGGGGCATTTTAACGAGTACGAGTACGAGTACAGGAGCTCCGTATCGGGCCCGATACCGATACCAGTATCAGGTATCGGTGCATCCCTAATTCTAACACTTCCCCGGACACATCTGTAAACTTTAAAGTGAACGCTCAAAATCCATTTGTCCGAAATTACGTAGACTATGCCGAAAAAAATGGGGCATCCATTAATTGAAGAAAAATGTTTTTCGCTTCACATTATCTGTGCAATTTTAAAACTTTCTTATTCTTATTTCTTTACAGAAAAGCCACGAGAAGCATGCTTTGACCCTGGGAACATAATGAACGGAACTAGACTGGGGATGGACTACAAGTTGGGATCAACTGTAACATATCAGTGTGATTCTGGGTACACCATTGCAGGACCACCCACTCTCACCTGCATCATGGGGGCTGATGGGAAACCTGTATGGGACAAAGCTCTGCCTACGTGTAAAGGTAGGACCTGCAAATGCAGTTTCTGTACAGAGGCATTAAGGGTTAAATGGGAGTTTGGCTGTTTATTGTTGCAGAGTAATGAGGCAACTTGTCACATTAATATACAATTCAACAGACATGTGTTCACAGGTGTGTGTAAACTGATTATTTTACAAATCCTCAGAATGTGGCTTTTTTTTTTTTGTACTCAAGTGGTACAAAATGTGTTTTTACACTGATGACAGACATATATTGGCTTGCATCTATCAAATTCTAAATGAAAATGAATGAGATTAAGTGGCTTTTGTTTGTCAAGTATTTAATTCACTGGATTATTTAAAAATAGACATCATGACATGAATATTTTATACATAAATAATTTTTCCCGTTCCATTACCATGATTCCATATTCATACTATGGCATACTTTTTTAAATTTTAACACCGCCCACTAGTAATGTAAAGTTTTAATCATTGCTTTTTTTTTTTCACAGATTGGTTGGTAGTTTATTGATTTTAGAACCTTGATTTAGCCATTTTTCCTGCAGTTTTAAATTCAAAGTACTGATGCATGTTAACTTGATTAAGCACTTCTTCGTCTAAAGAAATTAGCAGCAGCCTGCTTATCAGAGACAGTATTCCTTTTGTTGTTTGCAATCTTGTTAATTGAGTTAATTGATTAGGCCTTTGTTACATGCATAGTCCTACTCTGTCACACTGCCAGTACCCAGCCAATATTCATTGGGTTTGTAGAAACCGTCTGGTGCTCCCATTGGCTTACACAGAGAGAGACAGATGCAGACAGAGGTCTTTGTCCCTCAGTGAGAGATGAGAGAGCCTGGGTGGTGACAAGTGCCACTCATTCACACATTTCCTGTCAACCCGAGACCTTTCTCGATTCTTCAGCTTCCCCCTCTGTCTGTCTTACATTTCTTTTTTTCAAACCTGCGTTTTGGTCAAATATTCAGGCAAAGCATAGACATATCAATTAGTGTTAATAAGTGATTTGAAGATTTGCAAAAGTAATCCAAATTATTTGATGTATATATACTGTGTATATTATTTATTTATTTTATCAAATTCATGAAAAAGCACTTTATATGCTTCTGTTTTCTGTTTCAGAACCAAGATAGATGAAAATAAATAAATAAAAACTGTAGAACTAGATATGGTTTTCAAATTTCACACGTTAATTTAGGGACCAATTCTCAACTAGTATGACTTTTGCCTCAGTAAACTCCTACCCCATACAGTTTTTTTAGGTATGGGAAGGGTTAAGGGGTCTAAAATATCATCATGCAAAATAAGAGATTAATATGTGCTTTATAAGTACAAATAAATAGCCAATATATTAGTAATAGGCATGCTAATAAGCAACTAGTTAGTAGTGAGAATTGGTCCCTACACTAAAGCGTTACCCAAATTGTATGTTGCACTTCAAAGATATTTCAACAATTTTTCATATCCAGTGAAGTGCAAATCGATGTGGTTCAATAATCCGACCAATCATAATTGCACAAACACAAACACATTTCCAATGCCCATCCTCCAACCCGTCTTGGTTGAGTCAGTGTTGTTATGTCCAGCTCAGTTGGTCCGCTCAAATAACCAGATATTAATTTTGTTTCGTGCCGCTAGCAGCGCAGAAATCACACACTTCACTCTTATGTAATTCCCAGTGTTTTTTGTAGTAATAGCTCAAATCATGACAGAAGAAGCATGTGCTCCCTCTGAACCCAGCTTGTTCAAATACAACACCAGGTTATAGATATGAACGTGCAATGAACATCATTGACCCTAATCCGAAGGTCAAACAAGGGTTTTTGCACCTCAATAGCATCCGCTGATTATTTAACCTCTTTTGATGGAGATGGAAAGCTGCTGACGCCCTTTGCGAGACAGCCTCATTTCCGCACTCCAGGAACATTTTGTTTGTCCTCACTGATGGAATTTCCAGCACGTTGCTTCGCCCATCTTTATGCATGAGCTCTAACTGTGGGGTAGAGACATATTCCTATACAGGTCATTGTTGAGCTAACATAATCATCTGATTGTGTCATGAGAGATGCTTTATTTGATCTTAATCATCCGCACAGAGTGTACGCAAGCCCACGTTCGCACAATCCATTAGTTTTCTGCCTGCTAAGAATCCCCCCTGCTCCTCTATTAGTTAAGTGAGTATATCTACCAGAGACAACTGGATCCTGGAGAGGTTGGACAGCCTGGCTCAGTCGATATCAGTCTCTTTAAATAACGGTAGCATGGATTTTTTTTTTTTATAATGTAGTTTTATGGTAGCAGGGATAAACTGTTTTTTTTTTTAATGTAATAATGGAGTGTTGCAGTCAATTGCAGTTCAACCGTGCAATTTTGCTGCTTCAGTTAGGCAGTCCTGTTGAAACCCCAAGCAAGCTGATTTGCTACAATTTTATACAAACTGGAAACATCCTAGCAACTGTCTAGCAACTACTCAGAACACCTTCACAACCACATGACAAGGCCTGCGTCACATCAAACATCAGATCCCTCTTCAAACTGACAAAGTATTCAAAGGCTCATATAACGTGCAGACTTCAGACTGTTTAAAACTTCTAGGCAAAGGCTGTCAATCCAACATTCAAAGTTTGCCTTGAACTTGACTTCTGTAGTTGTGATGGTGCTGGTTTGGTCCTTTTCTAGCTGGTGAACCACACAGCAATCCAGTTCAACAGTAAACATAGCCATTGAAACTGCTTTACCAGGATAATCTTGGTGCATATTCTCGTAAAGCAACATACTGTAATTGGGTCACTAGCATTCTTTTCAGCTGGAAATGTAATTTTTTTTTTTGTAATATATATATATATACATTTAGATTACCAGCAAAGTCCATTACAGCAAAATCCATCAATCTTTTTACTTACAGTCTTAAAAAGTCTTAAAGCGAGCTGGGACTTTCTTAAGCCTCGTTTCCACCGCAGGAACTTTCCCCAGGAACTAGGGACTTTGGGCCGGTACTCTGTGTGTTTCCACCGCAGGAACCAAGATCTAAATAAAGTTTCAGTTAAAAATTTGCCCCTCAGCAGTGTTAATTTTGACAGGCATTTTTGATTTAGTCTTAGTCTTTATCTTGAGACAAAAATGCTTAAAGGTCTTAGTCGCATTTTAGTCATTTGAGTCTTTCATAGTTTTAGTCTAGTTCAGGGGTCGGCAACCTTTTCGTTTCGTTCGTAACATTTTTAATTTTTCTGGTTAACCACTGTGCCAATACCCCCCTCCCCCTTTTAAAGGGGACCTAACACACACAATTTCACCCAGTCTCATATTAATCTTGAGTACCTATAGAGTAGTACTGCATCCTTCATATCTCCAAAAAGTCTTTAGTTTTATCATAGTTATAAAAGAAAGATACAGCTTTACGATTCTCTCAGAAAACAGCTGAGCTCCTGGAGGCGCGCCGTGGGCGGAGCTAAAGATTGATGATCACTTGAGCGCCGATTGCCAACAAAACACAGACATTTGATGCAGTTTAACTTACCATCTGCAGTTCTGAGTCATGACCGGGATCTTTTATAGCTGGGACCGCTCCATATTTTTAGTATCAAAAATTGTGGAAATCCAGCGCCGAACTGGGCCTTGTTTATAAAACATTCGATAGTCAACAAACACACTTGCGAAACTCCGTTACTGCCTCGGAAAACAAACTGCATCCGCTGTTAACGTAACGCTGGATTCTTCAGGAAGCTGAACAAGGTTATCTTTCTCTTGCAACCAAAAACACCTCTTTAGATACATTCTTCTCGAGCGAGTCCCGTGCAGTGCTGCTGAATGAAGTGCGTTGATGGGCGCGCTCTTGCTCTCGCTCTGGTTGACGTGTGCCGATTGCCAGCAAAACGCTCTTCCGGGAGAAATGCCCATATAAGGAGTTCCACCCTTCATTACGTCATGAAGAGCCACGATCGAAAAAAAAAAAAAACTTTCTGAAACTTGTAAGAAACCCGGAAGTGTGTATTTGGCACAGAAATGCTTCTACACTTATGTAGTTATACATACACATCCAAATCATTTTTTGAAACTTTGGCCATTTTTAGCATGAGAATCCAACTCTTTAACTGTGTAAACAACTCTGAATGCATGAAACAGCATTGTACCCCCTCCCCCTTAATGCATTCTGTATTTATACAGTACATAAACATTTTTAAATGATACCACTGTATGTGTGTTTGTGACAAGGCCAATGCATTAAAACCGTTCAGTTTAATCACCGTTCTATATTAATGCGCTGCTTTAATTGATGCGCGCGCACACACACCACTCGCATACAGAGATGTGAGATTGCGCTGTGCAAAAAGTAACATTCAGTAACAAGCTCATAAACTTGTTGTCAGCGCTGCCACGTGACTTTTATTAATCGATACTGAATCGATACATTATATTTCTCAGCAACGAGGGGGGTAAAATCGCTGTTTGTTAAGTAACTAAACTCAGCTTCATTGTTTGTAGAGAGACACACAGACGCAATTTACACATCTCTCTCTCTCTCTCAAAATGGCCATATTTGAGAAAAATTTTTTTTGAGTAGTTTGCATCACAGGATACAGCTGTCGGTCATTTAACATTTCTATGGTAAAACGTATCGTTAAAAGTTGACTAATATAAAATTATTTGCAGCTTCATCTTACCTCGCTCTCTTTAATGTTAAACTGATGCTTCGCGCTCTGCTTCTGTGAACAGTAAACCCTGCCTACTTTGATTTGATTGGCCATCTCAGTCATTTTGAAATTGACAAGTGCTGTTAGACCGCTGAGGCTTTGACCTAAAGCGCCTATTATGTGCAGCAGTCGCGCACGCATCCGTAGACTAGCGCAAGTTATTTCTCACACTTTAATAGTATTTATAGCTCCTAACAGGCTGTGTGACTATGAGAAGTTATTACTTCAAAATGTACGTCAGTATGCAGTTTTCCCTATTGCTTGCGTGTCAGCGATTATCCCTCTGCGTGCCACTGTTGGCACGCGTGCCGTAGTCTGGTTTTAGTCAACG